TGACGTGGCGGCGGTCAGATGATGACGTGGCGGCGGTCGGATGATGACGTGGCGGCGGTCAGATGATGACGTGGCGGCGGTCGGATGATGACGTGGCGGCGGTCAAATGATGACGTAGCGGCGGTCGGATGATGACGTGGCGGCGGTCAGATGATGACGTAGCGGCGGTCAGATGATGACGTGGCGGCGGTCAGATGATGACGTAGCGGCGGTCAAATAATGACGTAGCGGCGGTCAAGCGATGACGTAGCAGCGGTCAGAAGATGACGTAACAGTGGTCAGTGGATAACGGAGCAAGAGGTAGATCCCAACGCTACAACATATTTACCAGTGATCTACCCTTCCACTTATTCCCCTAACCCCAAAAAGCATTCCCTATTACCAGAATTATGACTAGTATTACGCGTAACCCGACGCATAACCTTATCTCGCACTCTCACCCTCGCCCTAGCGACGACACGACGGCGAGTAGCAGTGGTGCAGTATAGCTCGTGTAGCCGACCATGGATACGACTACAGCCAGGCTGATGTACGACTCCTGTGAGACACACACTCGGGTTGTACACGCCGCCACAAATTCACATTCGCAATCACTGTCCACATGTTCGCTGCAATGCCTAGCGTGGCTGACCAAACGGTGAGCTAGGCAATAGGCGGAGAAGGGGGGGGGGGTCTGATCAACACGAGGACAGTGGGCAGGTATGCTCGCGCCCCGCATATCAGGGGGTTAATAATTACAAATATGACTACAATAATAAATACAATAATAATTTGTCATTATTAACCCCTGGTATATGCTAGCGCTGATAGTCGAGTGGAACGATGGGCCGGATGCATTCCAACCACATCTACGAGGATGGGAGTTAGTGGCTTAACGACAGGGTATATGGCATGCAAACGCTGAGCTTCTAAGCGTGTAAATGCTGTCTGGTCGTTCAAGGCATCAGTGTGCATTGATTAACATCGTCTGACACGTTACGCTAACGTCTGCGCCAGCATGCCGACTCTCCCACCGACCACCACTTCATCATGGACCGGTACGAACTCGCATCTCACAGCTTAGCTCTATACCCGTGTCGCCCCTCGCTGCCACGCCACAGAATACTCTCTGGTAACAGAAAGAGCTAATCAAAGCTGAACAACCCACGCTGCGACGTATTCACTCTCAATGGTGATGAGACTACCCCACCCCTACTCACACTAGATGCCACAAGAGGGCTTCGTTAAGAAGTATCGTATTCACCAGCGAGTTGCGAGCGTGGACGCCGCCAAAAGGCGCCATAAAAAAGCAACCCCCTCCGCTAGCGAGGACCATAGCCCCTGCCCGCGTTCGTTTCCCGGCGGGAGTGCGCGTGTGTGTGGAGGATGGAGGGTAAGAGAAACAAGCGCTCACTCACCAGCGGATACGACTTGGGGCCTCCTGGCGGCGTCGTGAACAAGTGGTCATCACTCACCAGCGGGTCGGGTCGCGACTGCACGCTGCCGGGCGTGTCGCGCGAGTAGCCGTCGTCGTCGCTGCCGACGCTCTTGCTGCGGCCGCCGCCGCCGCCCTCGGCGCCGCTGCTGCTGCCCTCTCTGCTCTCGTCGATCACCAGGTCGATGGGCATCTTGCCCTTGAGACAGTTGATGTACCTTTGGCAGAAGTTATCACACAGTTCGTGCACCTGCGAAAGGACAGAACGAAGAGAGAACATTGTGAGATCGAGTCGTTATCAGGAGAGGCGCTGCGGTTAAGATAAAATAACGTGCTAGCAGCTCCAATAATAATAGAACGAACGAGAGAAAAGGGGAAGACAGAGCAAGAGCGAAAGAGAAGGGGTAACGAGATAAAGAAAATGAGAAACACAGTCAACGGATAGGAATAGAGAAACAGAGGGAGGGGGAGAAGGAAAGACAGAGAGAGAGGGGGAGAGAGAGAGAGAGGGAGAGAAAGACAGAGAGAGGGAGAGAGGGAGAGAGAGAAAGAGAGAGAGAGAGAGAGAGAACTCGCGCGCGAGAGAGACAACAAGAGAAAGAATGTAAGACGACAACAAAGAACAATACAAAAAGAGAAATAGAAAGAGACCGAGAAAGAAAGAGAGAGAAGGAGAATGATAGAAAGAGGAAGCGAGAGCGACAGAGACAGCGACAGAGAAAAAACGCAACGCTGTAAACATTTTCGTACAATTCTTGTGCACCGAAAAACTCCGCAGCAAAAACGCACAGGCGAACACGCTACTGTTGCTTTATTTTTGCTTATTCTTCATGTAGAGAGAAGAACGCGAACGCGTCTAGATGCTCTATTGGGTCGCGCCCCGTGAGAGCTGTACACGGCGCGCGGACGGTAGCCGAATCGCTATCGGAGCGAAATCTCGTGTCGGCACATATGCGACCCGACAGATGTCACAACGTCGGAAGATTCTAGCCGTTTACCGTGCATTGTTACACGGCCGAGTCACCCCGCGCACACCCTTGCCCCGCTCCGCAACAAATCAAAAAGCCAAACCTCTCCGTCCCGTTCGCCATTTTCGAACAAAAGTGCACGGTGCTGCCAACACAGTGCGCAACAACGCAGACTAATGCTCTTTTGTTGTAAGCGACCCACCTATTCTTTCTTATCTGTGCTCACGCACCGTGCGCGCACGCACGGACACAAACAAAAAATAGATTCGCCTAAAGCCGTTTGCGAGCTAGCAATCCCCGTTGCGCGCCCGCGCGACACACGTAATGGCTCTGCCCTGGTGTTTTCCACGTTGCCGCGCGTGCGCGCGTATTCAATGTTTTATCCTGGTCACCAGTCCGGGGCAGATGTTCTTTTATGATGCGAAATCGTCGCTAGAAGCGGATGAAGAAACGCACCCGCGAGAGAGAGAGAGAGAGAGAGAGAGAGAGAGAGAGAGAGAGTAAGATGCGCACATGCAGTTAGGCGACCGGCAATGCTAGGAGGTGGTGGTGGCATGTGGGGGTGGTGGTGGATAAGGTCTAG